CTCGCCTTTCAGTTCAGGTAGCAGCCGCTTTGACTTGGCAGCTGCTCCTCTCAGTCAGCACAGGGTGGAGGGCCTGAGCGGGAAGAGGGAGGGAGGACAGGAGACGGACAGAGGGAGATAGGGGAGGGGGGAGATAGGGGAGGGAGGAGATAAGGGCGGAGAGCGAGAGGCAACTTGACACAAGAGACACAAAAGGTGAATGGAAGTGTGTTTTTACTCTGCTGGAGATGGAGGAGGAAAAGTAGAGAATAGGTCAAAGTGTAAAATCCCAGGTAAATGTCAGACGTGTGCATTTACAGGCCTACAAGTTATAGATGGGTCAAAAACAGGTTCTGCTGAACACTTCAACACGTCCAAAGGTTGGGAGGAAATCTGCATGTATAAATATATGCAATGACCCACACCTGTGTGAAAATGTGCTGCACAAAGCATCTCATACTTTAAAACTCTGACACCACGGGCTACAACATTGTTGAGTGACTGCCATTCATAACCAGAGGCTCAAAAATGTGGTCTGAGCCAGTTATAATCACGAGAATGACACGGTCCGTTAGTGATTCTTAACAGCGCCGGCCTTTTAAACAACTCCTTGTTTAAAGTGTCTTTCTCCCAGCCACCGTACAGAGATCAGACTTATTTGTGATTATAGGAGCTTTGATCACGGCTTGTCCGTGAAAATCAAACATGTTATAACTCCTCTCTGGAAACACCTCCGGCTGACTTGGCTCCATCTGAGAGCGTCTGCGCTTGTGTTTATGTGCTGTTCATCAATACGTCATGTGACACCAATCACCAAAAGAACCAGGGACTGTCAGTTTATAATGAACTCTGTATTACATTAAAAACAACAACACTGTTTGGAGTCCAAGCAAAGATTCGAGACAGTTTGTTTACAGTGTCACACGTGAACTGCCGGAAACATCCGTTTTCTAATGTCATTAAATATCTGATGTGAGTTATATTCTGAAGGAAAAAAAAAAAAGTACAATTAAAGAACTTAGAGAGAACACAGGTTGTTGTCTCTGTTGAAGATCACTTCAGTGAAACATAGTTAAAGAGCAGATTTTTATCTTATCACATTCTGCTGTGCACCAGTCTGTGTAAAGCTCTGCACAGAAAGAATAGGAAGAATGAAAACTACTGATTGTACCACAACATCCCTGTTACTCAACTGTACACAACTTAGAAGCAACACGCACAAGCTTCCCTGTACATTAAGTTCATGTTGGAACTGTAACAAACACCCAAAATACGGCTTATACCCCAAACTACTACACTTACTGTTCCATTTATGTAACTGAGTCTGATATCTGATACGAGTGGAAAGACATATTTGACATATTTAATCTCATTGTGCTGCTAAAGGAAAAGTCAGGGGACCTTCACCATCGTCTGGGGACGATAAAGATCTGGACAAAGTGTCACAACAATCCATGAAGCGCATGTTCAGCTGTTGCACAGTGAAAAGTGAAAACTTTGTCCAGACAAACTGTTTCCGCCTCTGCAGGAGAAAACATAGCCTCTGGCGATCTGATGACTGAACGGAGCAGAGTACAGCTAGAAGCCGTGTTCTTATTCCAGACACACACTAGAACGGGGTGAGGGGAGAGAGGGAGAGAGGGAGGGAGGGAGAGAGAGAGAGAGAGAGAGAGAGAGAGAGAGAGAACTCTGAGATGTGTGTTTAATTGTGTGTGTGAGGGAGAATGTGATTCAACCAGCAGACTGGCAGCCAGTTTCTAGCAGAGCGTCAGTGGTGAGTCATCTTGTAGGAGTGGTGGTGGTTATAGCAACAAGGGACCTGAGCTTTAAACCACTGAGTGAAACGTGTTTGTTACACAGACCCACAGCGACCAGTCTAATTCAAAGCTTTCCACTTTCTTCATTTAAAAAAGGGACTTGTCCACATACTTTTGACAATATAACATTATAGAGAGTACAAAATAGATGTGATTAAATATTTTTCCATGATAACCAAATACAACCATATACAAAAATATGCAGCAGCTATCTCTCTGGTAAAAATGTGTGTTTTCAATGTGAAAGTCTTTTATTTGATTATAATTGATTGATTTTGTGTTTTGCAGGGGGAAATATCACATAAGTATGAAACACAGCGGATTTTGCGGAAACAGGAAAGTATATTTTTATCTCTCGTCATGGCAACGAGAGATCCGGACGCTTAACGACCGACTGAGAGAAACATGTTTGTCAGTACAGACACATGCTGTAGATAGACCAGTCTAATAATGCACAGCTTTGAGAGGACTGCTTTCTCCTCCCTCTGTGAGCCTGAGGCAAACCAGTAAACAAAATCACATACTTTTAGAAATGTGACATCGTGGAGAAAGAAAAAAATAGACATGACTCATATAGAAAAGAGTCCCACCATCCTCGTGTTTCTCTAAACAATATTGATTCTAGTTTCAAATCCTTGGTTTGTCATCAGCAGCAGCACCACCAACCAGTCCTGCGTCAGAGTCTCTTCTGCCAGTTCTAAGAAACACGACTTGGTGTGTGTGTGTGTGTGTGTGTGTGTGTGTGTGTGTGTGTGTGTGTGTGTTTGTGTGCAGCAGAGGACGATAGAAAAGGCCTCTGACTGATTCAGAAAATCCCACAACACTGACATTCATGTGCATAGAGGCCGTTTCAACACAATCTAAATTGCAATGTCAGCACTGTATGCAAACACACTGTGAGCCAGAGGGGGAACAGTTCATGCAAATAAAGCACATTTACAACACACAGCTGGCTCCATATATCTCCTGTGTGCTGCTCCGCACCCCCCCCCCCCCCCCCCCCCCCCCTCCCCACTGCTTCACACTTGCTAACTAAGTTCTCCCTTTTGGTGTCCAGGCTCTCGTCTGCATTTGTTTCACACCCGGAGTGTCGAGAAAAAGAGTAAATCCCAGGAAGAGAAGCTGTTTGATTCCACCTCTGACCTCTGCAGGGCGCTTCATTTGTTCACCTCTGGTCTGACTGCAGACACAATCAAACCAGGAGGTGAACATCTCTCTACAAACTGTGTCTTTCATAGTTTCTTTTATTCTTCAGCCCATTTGTTTATGCTATTTATAAATAGATACTGATCTGTAACGCCTGTTAAAATATTGTACGAAGTATTGGACTGTATAAATCAACCCGACTTCTTTCAGTGATGTTTTTGCACAAAATTTATTTTTACAAGGTTTTAGAAATAGAACCAGAAAGTAGATTGTTCCCCTGCGGCCAGTTTTACTTTTGAAATTACTTCCAGCTACAATTGTCCTCCACATAATCACATGACCCTGATGAAGACTGTGCAAATTAAAGGGGAACTACAGTTTGTAAGATAGAAACAAAGGTGGAGAAAAAAGAGTGAAAAAAAGTGAATAATGAAACCAATTGTTTCTGTAGATGTGTTGTGAATTCTTACAAACCTCAGATATTGTAATTTGTACTCCACAACAGTGCCTGATAGATTCTTTGGCACATTGAGCTTAATAATAGATAAAGATGGACTCTTATGAGCCCAGGG